TCTGTCACATTACCTGAACCATAGCAACTCGAGATCAAACCTGTCGCATTACCTGAACCATAGCGACTTTAGATCGAACCTCTCACATTACCTCAACCATAGCGACTTGAGTGCCAGACCTGTCTCATTACCTCAACCATAGCGACTTAAGATCAAACCTGTCACATTACCTGAACCATAGCGACTTGAGAGCCAAACCTGTTACATTACCTGAACCGTAGCAACTTGAGATCAAGCCTGTCGCATTACCTGAACCATAGCGACTTGAGAGCCAAACCTGTTACATTACCTGAACCGTAGCAACTTGAGATCAAACCTGTCGCATTACCTGAACCATAGCGACTTGAGAGCCAAACCTGTCACATTACCGAACCGTAGCAACTTGATATTTGTTTGTTTGGGTTTTGCATCCTCAAAACAGCGACGGTCAAGTGTAGACTGTCTGTGTAGACCCTCCACAGACATGGGACCACTCAATGTCTTCAAAACAGTGACGGTCAAGTGTAGACTGTCCGTGTAGACTGACCATGTAGACCCTCCACAGACATGGGACCACTCAATGTCTTCAAAACAGTGACAGTCAAGTGTAAACTGTCCACATTTTTAAATGACTTCTAACATGTCATTTCAATTGAGCCATCTTTAACTTATATTTATAATGACTGGGGAAAATATGACACATCACAATCAATAAATGATTTTGATGCAATATTTTCTTAAATTTAAAAACAGCGATCTCCAGCAAAAAAAAAAATCCTCAGAAGTTGATGTTATACCCGCCCGCCCCACTGGCAACCATGTTGATTTTCGAATTTGAGTCAAAATCAAACTGAAGTTGATCAGCGATATTATAGATATGTATGGGTAGTTTCATGAAAATCAACTCTTTATCCTACAAGAATTATCACAGGGAAACTATTTGTGTAGACAATGAGATCACTTTCTTCTACAAAGCTGATGGAGCGATTCCTATGTCACATGTTTTGCAGGCGACATAAATATAAGGAACCAACTACCTCAAGTTAGACAAGGCAATCTGTAGTCCCCCACTGGTAATGATTTCTCACTTTTTCAAAGAGTAAGGTCAAATGTCAAAGCATAGGTCACAGTGAAGTCATAGTGACCTAATTCTTGAGCTCCGCCATCCAAAGATGTCCTTATACACCAAATCTGGTTACTCCAGGTGAAAAAGTACAGAAGGTATGCCCTGGACAAACTTTTTCAAAAGTTAAGGTCAAAGCATAGGTCACAGAGAGGTCATAGTGACTATTTTCTTGCACTCTGCATTCTGTCATCCCAATATATCCTTGTACACCAAATCTGGTTACTCCAGTTGAAATAGTACAGAAGATATGTCCCGGACAAATATCTCAGATGAAAGGACGGAAGGAAGGATGGACAGACGGAGTGCAAACCTAAAGTCCCCCTGGGAACCAGTGGGGGACTAATAAACACGCTAGTCACAAACCTATCTTTAGGAAATCTTTGGTCAGAGGGATTTGATTATGTTTTGTGTATTTTAACCTGCCGTTCCCTGGGGAACCTCTTATCAAATGGATTTAACAATGTTTTCCTGTTCTTAGGTTCTTAGAAACCTGTCATTAGGGTTTTGTATACTGACCTGTTTCTCGTTCATCTTCTTCATCACAGGAAGGAGATTCTCGTCCACCTTTTTCTTTCCTCCAGCCAAATTTCTCTCTTGCTAAACTAGATCCAGGTCAGGAAAAACATGGATACATTTTGTTTATCAAAAGTGAAAACTAGTATTGTTAAAACTAGTATTTTATCAAAAGTGAAAACTAATATATTTATCAAAAGGGATAACTTGTAAATTAACAGGATATTCCTTGTTTCTTCTGTTAAATACCAGTTATTACACTGAGTGGGCCGGATATTTTACATTTTACAACAGCGTGAAGCGTCGGTTTATAGGTAGGAAAAATACTCATCCCATCATTTCAATTAAACATAACTGGTCATCATCGAGAAATGAAAAATCTATAAAGGTGTACATGACTTTATACATGTCACCCCAGCCAAGCAAAGGATACTCTCGGAGAAGGTCAAGGTCAGGTCGCAACCAGGAGAAGGCTTCCTCTGACTGGTCAACTTGTGGGTTGAGGTAGCTGTGCTGGGAAATCCTATCAATAAAGTGATAACATACGTACTTGTCACTATACAAAATCACAGGTGTCTTGGATATAATGGATCAGCTTTACATTTTTTACAAGATATCATTAAATAGTTTTAGAGACACTCCTACCAAAATATTTTGCAAAATGTAATATAGGAGCGATAACTAACTCTCAATCAGGGATTTGACAGATATTTTGAGAACAGTATTTGGGTTTAAACTAGAAAATATCATCAGAAAAACCAAACATTTTTTTGAAAATATATAATCTGCTATTCTTAACCATTCACAAAATCCTTAAAGAATACAAATATATCATTTTTGCCATTTTTTCTGCTTGTGTATTTGTAATTAATCTGTCGGAATAAATTCATAAATACGAAGCCTTTTTTCAAATTTGGGTCTGTCTGTACAATAGGACGTAGGGTCAGAGAATGAAAGCCTGAGGTCATTGATATAGTTCATATAGTTGTCGACACCATGCAATGGAAAGCTTCAGGTAGCTTCTTGCGGCGCATTTTAATGTTCCTAGATATACTGATACTGGACTTTCGGTGCGTATTGATGTAGAGGAATTAAATTCCAGAAATCTTACAGTTAAAAGGTGAGTTAAGATATTAAATGGTCTGACTGGATCTTGCTAATAGCAGGAGGCATTGAATTTGGGGGTGTTCAGACCAAAACTTGTTGAGTCTGTGTTTAAAACTATTTACACTAGGGGCATTTACCACAGACTATTCCAGGACTCCACAACCCTGTTGCAGTAACTGTTACTGCTTAATTGTCTATTGGTTCTCGTTTTAAACAGCTTTTTGTTGTTCCCTCTGGATCTTGATTCATTGAAAACATCACCGACGGGAAATTAACATCTAGGCAGACAATTTTTCGGGGTTATTTTTTTATATGGGCTTATGCAAACCCTTTATTCTATTGAACAATTCAATAAACATACATTGGTACGGAGACCAATACTTTTTTTTATCGAAGGGGGTATTTGTAACAGGGTGGTAAAAACGTGTTGTCCATCTTACGCATTTCGCTAGACTCTACTATATTCCAATATGTTCTTATTACTAAAATAACTATTGTCAGATCAAAATACATGCTATGTTATATATAATGTGTAGTATACTACTTATCTATACCTATATATTATGTCCATACCTTTTAAAAGCAGTCTTATAACCAAAATAAGTATATAAAACTGCCATCTGTCAATTTACTACAGGGCGCCGCCATCTTGGATAGCGCGCGCTGTGACGTCATGGGTGCACAGTAATATTCCGAACGCTGTGTTTGCCGGAATTGGGCACCCGACCCCCAGACCAGAGACGTACATGTCTCTGATCATACGCAGGAGGAAATCTACATTCTCCTCTTCATTTAGATTTATAATTCCACAGAGCACTGATATTTTAACATTTTACAGAAGTAAAGGACGATTTTTTTTCTTCACTCTTTCTGTGATATTGTATGGTGATTAGAAATTAACAGAGAAAAAAGACACTGGACCTGCGATATATTTTGTACCTGCGCATGTGATGTATTATGTCTTTATGCCAGAGACGTATATGTAATATCACGGAATTAGCTCTTTTTATACTGATCACGGAAATTTGTGATCTATTTGATAGATAGAATTGTACAAACGATGTTTTAAGAAAAAATGAAGAGGGGCCTTGAAATAAGTTGGCGGTACGATAAGTGGCAAATTATTGATTGATGGATTGATTGATTGGTTTTACGTCAGCTTCACTACCGAGTAGTTCGGTTACCCAGCAGACGAAGAAAAGACAGGAAAATGAGTATAAGGGATAAAGTATTGGGATTGAAGAGATAGAAGAGGGAGACAGGGAGATAAAGAGCCGTTTATCCTATACATGTATGTATTACTATATAAATGTAATTGTTATAAGACGGCTGCTAGGTCTAATGTTTGCCTCAACCTAACACTAGTCGTATAGCAGCGCCAAGACTGGACCGGAAGTGATGTACATCTACACAGTATAATAATATACCTAGTGAACGCAGATATTGTAAACAGTGTAACTCCCCCTCTGAAGTAGAGGACGAATTTCATTTTTTATTCGTCTGTTCTAAATTCCAAAATATCAGATCACGTTTATCAAAAGCTATTACTGGAAAAAAAACATATGTNAAATTCATCTATGAGGCAAACAAATTAAGGGTATTATAATCGAATATGATTGTCTTCATTCTCTGTACGTTGTCCATGATTTGTGTATAATATGTATTGTATACTGATGGGCCAATGGCCTAAAGTTCGAATAAAACTTGAAAAATTGAAACTTGAGTCGCCGCGAGTCACACCAACTCCTAACAATTCTTTAAAATTTAGTTTGGTATGTCTATTAAAGAGAGTCTAGTTCTAACGACCAAACAAAAATCTAACCCTATCCTCTGTGTTATCACGCCTATTCTTTTCCAAAAAACAGAGATCTTTTACGTACGAGGTTGGACAGTTCTCACACGGGCCACCATTTATAGTCCTATCCGACGGACTGTGTGTTAGTGGTTAGTGGTTAAAGTCATGCAGGTGCTGTTTTTTGTTGCCCGTTCATTTAATCGCTTCTCATCTTTTGTCATTTACAATAAAGCTGACTGTACAAACTGAATTTGACATATATACATGTACACTTATCAAAACAGAGAGACTCGGATTGTATTATCGGATTATATATACCTCGGAAAATGAAGAAACGTGAAAGTTCTACGATATATTGCTAGGGTTCAATACTGTATCATTTTCAAAGACAATGCCAATTGACTTTGAAATTTCATTTTTGGTTATAAATGTATACTCAACGTCTGCATGACATATGTATTCAAGAATTGCGTGGAAACATCTTCTAAATGTTATTCATATAGACATCTTGTCGATACTTTTGATATTCAACTCTAAGTAAAAGCCTTTAACTTATATTACCAAAAAAAGTCAGTACCGCATGCAGGCGCATTCCCTTAACATCGAATCTGGACGTTATTATGGGGTTCCATAATTGTGTACTATGTATACATTTTAACCTATAATTGCATTCGGAAATGAAAAAAAAAAATGAAAAATTCATAAATAAATACGAACCAAATTGTGTGTAAAATAAAGACAAAATGTTTATCAGTGAAGTTGTTTATATATATATATATATATATATATGTGTGTGTAATCTTTTACCGTTCACTGGAAAGTGTTCTTCTAAAACAGGACACCTGTTTCAATTCAATGACAAATTGTGATCATATATTTTTTTAAATAATGTAAATAATTCTACTGTGGATATTCATAATATTTTCTGCTGATATTATTACTCATTCAGATAATTACTAGTATGGTTATCTGAGCGGCTATGTACCCCAATCTATACAATTACTCGTCAGAACAGGTCATTCGTACAATCACGTTTAGCGCACGTGCGAGTGAGTGGATTGACGATCTGGCGGAAGTGCACTGAATACCTGTATGATCCTAAAGAGTTCCCGTGTCAAGGTGTATTTTGTTCGTTACAACTCATTCCGTGAAGTGAGAATTGCAATGAAATACAATATATTGAGATATTCGTGTGTATGGATGATACAATTGGGTATTTTGATTTGAATTCTGATTATTTATTTGTTTCTCTAAACACATATATAATAAGGAAATTCTAGTATAAAG